CTCTCTCTCTCTCTCTCTCTCTCTCTCTCTCTCTCTCTCTCTCTCTCTCTCTCTCTCTCTCTCATGTGCGCATGTGTGCGCAGCAACACCGAGCAGACCTGCGAACCCAATCACCCACTCACTCCCGGGTTTCGGCCCGCTGCCCTCTCCCGCCGGTAACTGGGGACCACAGCCCACCGGCAACCCAGGACAGTTCCCAGAAAAACACGAAAAAAAAAAGGGTGCTGGGCCCTACAACGTGGCTGACTACACTGCAAATCTCCAACGCCTCGGCGCGATTTTTCTGCTCACCCGAGCTTCAACTGCAATTGAAACTTGGGCCCTGTCAAAACTGCTAAAACGCAGTTTGAAATGCAACTGCAAACTGTAATCCTGACTGCACCCTCGTCACGAAAGCAGTTTCTAAATGCATTTCAAACTGCGTCTTTCAATTCCAGTCCTGTCGGAAGTTTACTATGCAGTCAAAAGAAACTCCTCTTTGCAGAAAAGTGGCACGGCGGAGTTTGGAACTGCAGTTCAGTCAGGCAGGTGCCCTTTTTTTTTTTCCTCCCGAGTGCGACTTTGTAAACTCCCCACGGGACTGGAATTAAAAACTGCAGTTTGAAATGCATTTAGATACTCAAACCATGACCGTGCCCTAGTTTTGCGCGCACTCAGTTTTTTCCTATTCTATGCCACGTGGTGCGTTTGAACGCGCCCACGCACGTTTTGAATGACTTCGAACGTGAACGCGCGGTCAGCACGTTCAAACCGCCACATAGTGGATGCATATAGCACTCCAGTTACACCCTTCTGTTTGCACAAAGGGTCATAACGGATGACTGATGTATGCATTCCCAATGCTTGACGGACAGTTCTCGTGTGACGATTCTACTCATTGTATTCAGGCACGGACCCTCTGCGCTCCAATCGCACATTCATCCCAAGTCGCATCCCAAGTTCCCATATAATGAGGAGCGGGCACTTGAAGGAGGTCTTGGGTTCAATCCCGATTGGCCTCGTACCTTCCTGGGCAGTGGCGCCCGCCACCTAGAGATAGCCGGTTGGTCCCCCCAATTGGCATTAAAAAGAAGTCTCTGCTGATGTTCATAGGGGGAGGGGTAATCGGGGAGGCACAGAGACTGGCCACTCAGATGATGCTGGGTGCCTCTGCTATCAGCTGTCCCCTGGCCGGTGTCCCCCATTGGGGGCTCCCTGAAGGCAATCAAGGCCACCCTGGGCTGAAAAGGCCACCCGATGTCAGATTAGACACAATATTGAATCCCCCATTGGGGGCTCCCTGAAGGCAATCAAGGCCACCCTGGGCTGAAAAGGCCACCCGATGTCAGATTAGACACAATATTGAATTTACATGGGCTGGTTAGTCCGATGATACGTGGGCCTCATTCTATCCTTCAGCCTTTCGGCCTCTATCATATCAATCAAAATCACTCTCGCGTTGTTAAGCGTCAGACTCTGATCCCGGTAGGGCCCTTGGAGCGACGCGTGGGCCTGTACTACCCCTCATGGAAGTCGTTGCCCCGGTAGTACCAAACGCCCGAATTTCGGGCGCCCAAAACCGAAATGGTTTTGCCTTGGGCGCTTTCTACCAATTATCCCGGGCACTTCAAAGTGAGTGGGATGTACGCAAGGCTGCAGTCCAGATAGGTGAGATAGGACGGCCATATCAATTTCGATCCGAGGAACGGTCTTCCAATTTGGTAATTTCGGGCCATATCACTCACAACCTTTGACAATGGCCGGAAATGGATACAACGCTTTCGTCGCGGTGAGGTTCTGTGACTTACCCCCAAAACCAAACTCCCCCCCCCACCACCACCACCACCAACAACAACAACGGATAAAAAAAAAATAAAAAAAAATCCCAAAAACATATTTGTGTATCTTGAAAAAGCGTAAGCGATTAGTACCCCTCGAAGAAGAGTCAAGGAGGGTATGCGTTCTGCTGAAGCGTTGCCCTCCCTCTTCGACGTTACTGTCGAAACGAAAAAGTATGAGCGCATCTTCCCCAACTCCTCACTGTGTAGAAGATTGAAGTAGGGATAATTGAGGAGTTTCATAGGGCAGAGATTGATTCTCCACACAACGGGGTTAATCCTTCCTCGCTCCTCGCTGGGGAAGCAATCAATGCCCCGCGGCTATGCTACATTTGTGTTGTGCAGGGAAGCTGTCTCCAGGGGAGCGGTGGCTGAGGGTCTTCCAGCCCTAATGGGCAGAGGCGTTCGTACAAGTGTTGTAATCAATTTCATAATTGGAGCCTTGGGCACTGGGCCGTTTCGTGTAAAAAAGTATGAGCGCATCTTCCCCAGAAAGTGGCAAGATGCATCAATAGTAACGGACGCATCTGGCCATTGGCTACGGTAACATGCACTCGTACTTTTTTTCGTTTCGACAGTGTGGCGGAGGCCCTGAGCTGCTCCTTCGCAGGATAATAATCCGTATATTTTTCGAGAGAGAAGAATTGAGGAATATGCACATGGGCTAGCGGGATTTAGAAACCCCCGCACCGAGACGGATAGTCCATCATCAGTCAGACGCCATCATGATTATCATTCTTTCATTTATCTTTTCTTCACAGGTAGCGTCCTACACAGCATCACTTGTCCATGTTTCATTGAATCACCCATGCTCATGGTTCTCAATCCTGAATTGGGCCTAAAGGTGAGGGATACAATACCCTCATCATTTTGTCCTCTACTCGCATTTTGATGTAGCAGTTGGGCTTAAATGGAGGGATAGAATGCCCTCAAGATGTTATGATTCGCTCGAATTTTGATGTAGCAGTTGGGCTTAAATGGAGGGATAGCATGCCCTAATGAATGATTTTGTGTCCCACTTGATTTTTTGATGTGGGGACCACCACTACCCCACAGCTTCACACACATGCCTATCATTATCTTAATCCAGCTTATCGTCTTCACGGCGACGCCCGCCTCGAATCTCGAATGCCAGGTCCATCTTGCGCTGCCTTAGGGGCGAACGTTCAGTTTGCATACTGCTACAATGACCAGGTGCTCTATTCAGCTTATGACCTTCACATTCAGTAATCATCTTGCGCGTATGCGTTGTGGTAATCAATTATTTCATGTAAGGCACAAAGTGCGCAAGCCCATCCATGGGTTGGAGCCATTGTGATAGGAACCCTTGAGCGCCCTGACCAACTCTTCGAGCCTTGTGAAGAACAACGAAATCATCGGCATACCTTACTGAGATAACTCGGCCTTCGGCCGCCTGTTGGTGAGCCCACTCATTCAAAGCAATCTCCATTCAAAGCATTCTCCGTTCCGTGCAAAGCGATGTTGGCCAGTAAAGGCGATATAACCTGAGGCTCGCCAGAGTTATATATAGTTATGGGCCGCGGAATACTAGAATTTTTGCTCTCCTATTTTTACAGCACAGTAACTACGCCATTCAATGCGCAATAGCTTGGGTCTAACTACAATTTTGAAATAATTCAAAATTGGAATTGGAACGACCATGCATAACTTGCATGCCTACAATCATCTGGCGCCATGGCCACATCCAATATCATCACAGAATCTCAACTAGGCAAGCCCGTTAGATGATAATTCATCATCGTCGTCTTTTATTTTCTTAATTTTTTTTCCGAGAATATTGTCGTCTTTTCGTTTTCTGTTCATTTTTTACGAAAAGGCGATGGCCTTCTTCGAGATGACTGCGCCCAGGGGACTGCAGCGATATGTTCACATGTCTGGTTCGACTGGACTTCGAACTCGGGATCTGCGCCTCCTGGGGCGAGGTCCCACTTGCAAAGAGGATTGGATTAACCGCCTGAATCTCGACGTGTTTTACAAAGAGACGCAGAACAGCAGATCTATCGTGAGATTCTGCATTTTGCCGCAAAAGCGTCCAACATTCAGACCTTCAATCCTATCCTGTTTGCTAGTGGGACCTTGCCCATGAGCTAGGTCAGCTGGTTGACCATCAGTTCTATATGCTATATGCATTGCCGCATACAACCTTGCCCATGAGCTAGGTCAGCTGGTTGACCATCAGTTCTATATGCTATATGCATTGCCCCATGCACTGTTGTATGCATGCGCGCATGCAATGCAATGTAGTATGTATCACAATTCTCTACCCTGATACTACGGTGGGTGAGAATCACCGAATGTACGGCACGAGACGCTCTCTCTCTCTCTCTCTCTCTCTCTCTCTCTCTCTCTCGCTGTGTGTGTGTGTGTGTGTGTGTGTGTTGCCTCGTCATTTGGGTTGACAAACAGCTGAGAGAGAGAGAGAGAGAGAGAGAGAGAGAGAGAGAGAGAGTTGGCGATGATCCCACATCGGCATGAAGAAACATAAAGAGTCGAAAACAGGAAACTCCTCTGTGTGAACAAATTTCCGTACATATCTGAGACACGTGGAATGCGCTCAAGCATGTGCGACACACTGAGAGCATGTGCGACACACTCTTGGATTAGAACTCAGGCACAAATAACACAAACGTCACGTTACAAAAAATGTCAATGGATGACTATCGTTCATTATCTCTCCTGCTTCAAATGGCATGAAACAAACATGTCTGACCCACTGTTAAGCGGACAGCGACTCAACTTCAAGGCACACGTCGACATGTCTGTCTATGGTTCATCATTTCCTACTTGAACTGGAACGAACACGACATATCTGATATCTCACCCACAGACAGACAACGACTCCAGTTAACGAGAGATCATGACGTAATCAGCTTCTATCAATTACAAACGCTCATTGACAAGTSGAAACAGATTCTTTTTCCTCGTTTACTCTAAACTTTCCTCGATCCTCATGTCGGTGCTTGTTTAAAATTCCACTTGTCCAGTCGCCCGTCGGCAAATTCACCATATCCCTCTCGTGCGTCAGTTCCCTGTCTGCTTTCTTGTCTTCAACGACGTTCCGCTTGCTCAAACAGGCTACATCCGTGATTCCGTGGATGCCTTTCGTGCTTACAGTCATGTTGCTGCAGTTCAGATACTTATTTGCCATGGATGATTATTGTCGAGAAAAGCCAGTTTGACATCCTAAGCCCCTAAGCTAATTACAATGAGCTCCTGAAACGGACACCACCTCTAAGCCCCTAACGTAATTACAAGGAGCTCCCAAAATGGACACCACCTCCTGACTGTATGTACAATCTATTCTACCCGTTTCTGTCTTTAACTCGCCAAACACGATGCCTCCTGATTCATTGATGGATGAACCCGGGCACAGATACTCGTCGAAAACTTATAACGTCCTCCTGCATCCGTTGAACGCCGGGTGTTTGCATGAGAGAGAGAGAGAGAGAGAGAGAGAGAGAGAGAGAGAGAGAGAGAGAGAGAGAGAGAGAGTTCTGGTTCGTCTGTCTCTTATACACATCTAGATGTGTATAAGAGA